TTATTATTATTATTATTATTATTATTATTATTATTATTATTATTATTATTATTATTATTACAGATGAAGCCTACATAGAAAAAATAAATTTTAAATTGTAAATGCTTCACCATTCAACAACAAATTGAGTTCACATCACATAAACGTATGATCATAAATCAATCTAGATTATATACCATTGTGAAATGTGATAATAATGCAGACAAATCTAAATTCGGTAAAAAATAATAAACTAAGGACCAACAACATTTAAAATATAAGTTAAATCAGAGCAATACTAAACCAAAATTAAAACCCTAAATTATATATGCAAAAAAATTAAAACCCTAAATTATATATGCAAACTCAGAATTGGTGATCACAATCTTATGATAGAGAACAAAGAAAAGAACAAAGACCAAAACAAATGTTGATGAAAGGTTCTATGAAAGGTGCGACATTGGTGTAATTTATGATCAATTTCTCTTCCTGTTTGATTGTCCAAAACATAAATAAGCAAGAATAACGTTATTTAAGTCAATACAAATCTCAGTGCCACAGTTCAGTTTGTTAGACAATGAGGAAAAGTGTTGGTATATTATGGGCAACACCCATAACGAATTTTATATTAAAATTATTATTTATATTTTTCATTTTTAAATTTATTGTTATTATGTTAAATATTCTTGAAATCGATTATACTTACACGCAATTTATAGTATGTTCCAGGCACTGCCGGGGAGTGGATGTGGCTAAGCAGTTTATTTATTTACTAAAAATAGAACTGACGTAAACATAACACTTACGTCGAAGTGCCTGGATTGCATTCGTTGGGTTATTATTTCATTGCGAATTGACGTTGGTCTGTAGGCAATGTTAAATACACTGAATTTATACTGTTTAAAGTGGAAACAGGTTGTCATTTTCAGTTCATACACAACGTCATTTCAATTATGGGAACAATCAAATCAAATATTTATAATTATCTGAGAATTGTTAATAAATCAGATGAGAGTTTTAATGATGTAATGTCACAATTGGCAAGTAAAGTCAATTCATATTATGAAAAAACGTTATATTTGGATAGAGAAATTGAGCTAAATATGAAATTGTGAAATTATTTAACATTTATATCAAACCTATTTTACTTTATAGGACAGAAATGTGTACTCTAATTGAAGATCTTTTTATCGTCTTGTCAGAAATATAATAATGTTTAAACCAAGCCCTCCATGACTCTTTCGCATTGTAAATCCTAGTTATTCACATCGAGAAAATAGTCTGTAAGCGTGTTTTCACATGTCATTTGCTCGAGAACGTTCTACGTCTAACTGAAAAAAACGGCGACAGCAGGGCGCGGACAGGGATGTTTGCTTAAATGGCGGGCTCGACTGCATTGCTACTATTTCAGTTATTTTAAAAAATAACGAATCTCCCACAGCGCGATATTGAATGAAGAAAAGGGCCTATTTATCACAAAGTAATGTGTGAGGCTAAATCCTTCTAAACCTTTTCGAATCCAATGTGATACTTTCGGGGTTCATTATTGTTGTTATAAATTGACACAATCAGAACCAAATTTAGTAATTTTTTATCGTAATGAACTTACGTGCGAATAGAGGTGCACATTGTCGTTTGATAATGTAAATCTATAACGTCGCAAAATCCTCTAATTCTAATAGTGGTGATTTCGAATACACAATATATAGTGAACAGCGCTTCGTACTTTATTTCCTATGTGTCCCTGACAATTTAAGATCTGAGTAGGCATTTGCTTGATATTACTCGGGGTATCGTAATAGCGTCAGTATAATTATTGTCGTTATCAGGCCTTCCTTTAGTATTAGGAAATCAACTCAGTGAAAATGTGTATGTCACATGCCTAGAGGTGGTAAAATGAGATGTCGTCGGTGTAACTATGACAACGATTTCTTATTACGTCTTGGCGCAGATAGCACTGAACATCATTATGATCGAGCAAAGGATGACGGGAAAGTTATACCAAGCAAAGTAAGTGAGTCAGTAAAAGATGTGTAGAGTGTTGCTACGGGTTACATGCAGTATTCTGAATCAGTGGTTGATACACGTCGTTTCTACTCTGTTCTGAATATGGAAGAACTCTCACCGTGTATAGTGTGCTACTATCACCCATGTATGTGCGCCTATCTCGATTTAAAGTAGCAGTTTGGTTCTGTGAGAACACAGCGAATAAGTAACACAACATATACGTTAGACATATATTATCTGACGTGCAGCTCTCACCATTGATGGAATCGGTGAATTCTACCCCATGGATAAACTCATCCATGTATGGGGTTGGTATGAATCGCTCAACAGAGGCATTCGAGATGGATCCAACACTTCGAATTGTTCAGATTACAGGGTTGATTCTAATTTCTACATGCTCAGGAGTTTCCAACTTGCTGAATCTGACTATGATATTGACTTCAAAGAGACGAAAAACTCCGATCTACGTGATGCAAATTAATATAGTGGCTGTTGATATCCTGGTAACTTTCTTATTGATTCCATCTAGCCTGCATTACATAGTTAATAACAATTCATCCATTACACAGGCATACTGCACAATGATCGGTAAGTTCATGGCCATTATCACTTCCGATTTAAATCTACATCAATCAACAACATAGCATTGTATTTCCGGGTAGACTCACGAGCAATAAGTGCCAACTAATTGTGCAGTTTCAATCAACACTTCCATTCAAGGTGATTGCCCATTCAGAAAACTAACGAGTTACATTCCCACCTTTTTGAATACGCATAAAAACCGTCAGAAAGCGTGGACTTGAATCTAGAAAACAGGAAATGGTCGAGTTAACGCAGATGGCCTATGCATACTCGGTTCGTGGTTTCATTGATGACTATTGTCGGTTTCATTTTCTATATAATTTGAATTCAGGGACATTGATGATTTAATAAAGCATGTATGTACGTGTATCATACCCACCAGCACATCATATTCTAATGATAATTACTTCATTACAATATAGTAAGGTCTATACTACGTGCACAATCACTTTTGTAAACAATTTGTCGTAAAGATAATTACAATACAGTGTAGTGCAATACAGAACACAACAGCAGAGTACAGCACAGCGCAGCACAAAGTACAGTGTGGTAGAGTATACTACAGTACAGTACACTACAGTGTAACACTGTGTGTGGTACATAAACTCTACTCCGCTTGATTCAATTGCCCCAGTCAATAGGTGACGCGCGTGCGACAATACTCATAATGTGTTGATTGGGATTTATATTTTTAGATGACACATCTGGCGGGCAGGTCTGTTCTGTGCAATTATTACGCAATGTACGTAGAACATAACTGATTTATATTGTGTATTATTATATGCATAATCAACACGAAGTCCGTAGAATTTCGTTATTGCGCAGTAATCAGGAGATAGTGATACTAATGAGAAAAATTGAAATGATTGATACACCCATTCTCCTTGAAGGAAATGCTGCTTTCCATTTCTGTGAACAACACTCAATGGGAATATCTCTATTCGTGTTCAAGATTTGTTTTGAATTACTGTCTATATTTAGCTGATTTACTCAAAAACAGAATTTAATGTTCATATACCACTGAAATATTGTCATATGTGTCTTACATTCACGTGGTAATACAATCAATGCTGTTACTGTGCATGTGATCGATTCCCAGCTTTTTACAACTGTACGCATGTAATATCACAAGTACAACACATATCACTAAATCAAGTCCATCTTTGATCTAGTTTCTGCATTTGTACTTTGAAAATTGAAGATTGAGAATACAAACAATGTACCCTAATATATACGAAGTCTAACCACGAAATAAGTTTCTTTCCGCGCGCGTTAATTGGATTCCCTCTTAATTTTGCCATCTAAGCACAAATGAACAGGATTTTGTGGGAGGCAAGTACTTATTATAGAAACATCATTAATACGACGATTTAAATGCTTTAAAATGGGAATTTTAGAATTGAATGAATGTAATCCACTGATAAAGCTGATATTAACTACAACATTATAAAGATCAAACAATTGTGTCTACTTTGTGAACTTTTTTGGGTTCTATGTTTCTTTGTGGTTATATTTAAGATACATCCAAATATTCTCAATGACATGCTCTGGGAAACGGTCGCTAAATAAATATATTAGTAGCATGACAGAACTAGAAGTGACTATAACCTGTTTATATGTAATCTTGTATTTCTTGTGATTGTTACAACCTTGCATTGATGGCTCCAATAACGTGTCTGGTCTACAGTATAAGTTTCTGTCATGAACTATTACACGAATCCCATCACTTTATTTTGATCACACATTATACGATTGTGATCGCACGATCATTCTACAACCCATCTTATTATTATACATATTCCATGTCTTCCCTTTTCAACGGACAAATCGTGCTTTCTTGTCACTCTGAATTTCGACATGTTAATTATTTGCGTCAGTTTTATTTTAAATTCTGCATATGTACTCAGTAACTTTTTGATATTTCATTCATTTTTCCACAAATCTATATAGTTTTGTTTGCAAATGCTGTGTATCTTTTTTACATTCAAGTTTGGTGATGTGGAAACTAGATCTCTGATAACCATTTGAATGGAAAATGATCATTTCAAGTTAGTTTCTACGGAAGCGGGAATTTACCTACTTCATTTCTGCAAGCCATATTGGTTATTGAACTTCAAACTCAAATTGTTTTTTCAATGCATGTCATGCTATCTGTCATGTTGTATCGTGCTTCATTGAATGTTCCGTTTGAGTGGATACATCAAGGTAATTTGCATCAGTTGACACTACATACTTGTTGTTTTTTTGAAATGAAGTTGTTTTTTCCAATCTCCTGAAGCTGATTCCGAAATTAGCTCTTGTCGTATTAGTCATTTAACTTCTGATGAGCATAATGCGTAAAATGATGAGTTTAATTTATTATTCATATTCTGTTACTTAGGTCATTAACATATTAGTTGAATAGCTCAGGGTTAAGAACACATCCCTGCCTCACACCATTAACAGTTTAAAATATGTAAGCAGTTGTGTTTCATGGACCATTTCTCCAGACTTTGTTGGATGTTGATACCTTATATCACCCTTTTTGAAAATATTTGACATTATGCAAATATTCGAGATTACTGTATAGATTCTAGAATTCACAACTACACAAAATAATAATCTGAACTAAACCAATTCTGAAAAAAATGTCATAACCTGTTGATTTTTTCACTTTTAGGTTTTTTTAATACCTTATACCTTTTATTCTCTTATAACTTTTTTCAGTTATCTTACAATTTAATATTATTAAAATGTCTGAGACATTAGAATTTGTATATAAACTTTTTTTAGTCTGATTTTTAAGAATCTTGCAATCTTTATCAAACCATTTTTCTTTTATAATATTTAACATAGTCTTAGTAGCTGTATTGTCAATTATTGAGTTAAATTGACGGGGTTTGTTCCCACGTTACTGAGCGTGTTCGCGACAAAAAGTGGAGTAGAATTTACAAGCAGTCGTCGAGAAAGCCGTTTTTTACTCGGTTTAATAAACATTCCTCTATGTGTCCCGCAAGAAATATCTTACAAAACTACATACAGATGAATCTCAACGAACGCAATCTATGAAATGAACAAAAATTAAAACAGTACGGCAAAAATTGACATAAATAAATGTATGTTATCATAATATTTTTTTGATTAAATGATAAAACCATAGAAACAGGCCATATTATTACGAGGTATATTTTAAATGAAAGATTTTCATGAAATTCGTTTAGTGTACGGACACTATTAAAAGTATCTTATATGTAAAAACACGGTGGGCTTATGTTTGGCACGGAAAAGAGTCTTTACTCTCTCTGAAGGAGATAATATGTCCAAATGTATATTAGCGTACGCCTGCCGCTGTCAACTAATGTACATCTTGTTGACAGTAAATGAACTGGATGCAAACAACACTAGGTGCGAATGCAATTAACACGTTTAAAATAGCATCACATACAGCGAAATTCATTCCTTCACACAAATTGAAATGTTGATTTACATTAGAGTAGAGAACTGTATAATCACATTACTTCTTCACTTGAGAATGTCTCCTCAGAGTGCTTTAGAATTAACGAAATTCTATCGTGATGCAATTCAGAATGCAATGACTATGTTCCAGACATGTCTTTGTATTGGCAGACATGCCTTTGTATTGCGGCAAATATAAACTGAGAAATTGTAAATTGCTTGACTAAATTAGGCAGAGGCTATCGCTTCTGACTTGTAAGGTTGTTATAACAATTTTTGAATATTCTAATAATGGATTACATGTTCTGTCATGATGATATTGAAAAGAATCTTTTTGTTTTTATATATAAACATAACCTTCTCTAACAGAGAAAGTTTGTTAACGATTGTTGAAGCTCGTAGAGAATATTGGTAACCAATATTGATAACCCAATCAGTTCACTTATAAATACATGTTGTCTATCAAGTCAGACTGGTTTATTCAAAAAACGTAAGGGTGACTGATTGATACACACGGAAACAAGTGCCGATCTCATTGCGATATTATAATACTAGTATTGTATAGGTCATCGTTGAAAACAACGGTTGAAAACTCTCAGAAAACTGTACTTTGGATTAACTGTCGACCTGAATTATGTAACAAGATTACCTCTACATGGAAAACATACTTTAGCTGTTTTCACCATAAAAAAACATGTATTTACTGTCATAGCTATTTGAACCTTACATCTGCGTGTACCTCCACACAGGAGCAATAGTACACCTTTCTTCATACATAAAAGTGTATTAAAGAGAAATACTACCTTGTAACGTTACGTTTTGCGCACGTGTACGTACAATAAAACCCATTACCATTAATTTTAATGTGAAATCGAAAATTCAATAAAAATTTTAGTTATAGCTGTAAATTTAAATGTTTTATACAGTTGTTAGTGATGACGTTTTTTTTGTATTTCAACAGCGACATCGCCAAAACATGAACAATATATAGATTGAGGTGTTTCTATAACGCCTCGAACCATCATGAAAAGACTAAGCAAGAACAATACATGTGACTTGAATTTATTATATACAATATATTATTAGTAGTACCATGTTATCAGTCATAATTAGTACCATAGATATTATTAAAAATTATATATGAATATGAAAATAAACACAAGCAATTACAAAATGTTAGGTTAAAATGTTCTATGAGTCAGAAAGTTATGTAAAATAATGAGTAATATTTGTATTTCCAGTGTGGATATGTTTTCTATTTTATAATTTATAATAGTCTATATTAATATATGTTATTGGGTAATGGAGTTGTTTTACTATGATACATTGTTTGGAATTCAGAATCGAGTCATACGTTTTTAACTTTTTAAAGGCCATTGTGGATGATTTGTCTGTCGTTTGGTTTGTGCGATTGTGGTGACTGTTTGCGAGTATGTCGTGTTGTGTTCTTAAATACAGAGGAAATTGAATCAGCACGACGGTTTACCATGAGCAGAGTGCAATATTTTGTGAGTCAGTGACAACTCATAAAGGTACAGTCGGTATATTATTGTATTAATGATGATCTATCG